GGGGGGGGGGGGGGGGCGAGAGGACTTGAGTCTGCTTGTTGCAAGAAAAACAAGCCCAAATCCCTGATTGATCTGTAATACTAAGCAAAGCATTGATGATATCACCAGATTTGCTAGCCTTGCCTAGTAGCAACAGAAACCAAATGAGAGTAATGATAATATGAACCAGGAAATGGCTCATTTTCAGATAAGCCGGAAATATATTTCTAGTTTAGTCACAATACCCTATGAACTATTAAGTCCAGAAGTTTATTCATGTTAGAATTTTCTGTGCACTTTTAAGAGTTGACAAGATTTCCAAGAGGCTTCAGGAAAATGAGACACACCCAAGTAAATAGACATTAATCTCAAAATTTTGCTTGTAAACTTAAAATGCCATAAATACCAGTAGTTTATTTATAAACCCATCAGCATTTTTAATGCCAGTAGGATTTTATGATAAAAAATTATTAACTATTCTGGGCATTTGGAGAATAGTGCTAAGTTTCTTGTAATAATCTTATATTGAATTAGAGGCATTGGAATATCTTTGTATTGAAATAAATATGTATTTTTAGGATGCCTCTTTGAATTACTGTCTTTTGAGGAATAATTATTCTTAAATGAAAATACTTTTTTCTTTCTTTCCAGGTTCATGCAACCTAATTCTCAAGTCTATTGTTTGTTAAAGCATGTTACATGGGGATTGCCTTCATTGTAACCCCACAAGAACCCTTGTGAAGTAGGTTAAATTGAAAGTGACTGATCCTAAGTCACCCAGTGACAGTCTTGAACACAGACAACGTAAGCATATTTGGTTTGAAAACAGATCTACTCTAACAGCACAGTCACTAGACTATACAGGCCACTTCTCTCAACTACACACTGCACTAATGTCTAAATTTGATTTTCAGATGCTTTCAATATTTCTGTTTCAGGTTTATTTCATATCATTTTGTTACCTTTGATCAACAAAAATGTTATTTACTTTCACTGACTCCTGATTATAAATGTCTCCTTTCTGGTTATTCTGGTATGGTTACAATGCACTGACTTACAAAGTAGCTTACATGTAGGGGATGAGAACAACAAATCTGATAATGGATAAATTGTTATTCTGGAAACTGACAAATCTAATACTATTTGCAGGTAATGCAGGATATGTGTGTGCGCGCGCATGCACGGCTGTGTCTGTCTATACACACACATATATATACATATTCTTGGGTTTATAGAAAAAAGACTCACAGTATTGCATTTGAAACCTTTACACTTCTGTAAACCGCTCAGTTGCTTTTTAACAAGATGTGAGGTGACAAATTTGATATATAAATAAATAAATATAAATTTAAAAACTGACAAATAATGCTAATAGGCAATTCACTTTATTTTATATATTTTTGTGTTAATCTAACATTAAATTAGCTGAAAGTGATTAACTTGAATTAAACATTAATTATCTCACTAACTTTTCTCATGACATTTTTGACTGTCATATAAAGTTCCAAAGAAGCTGACAGCCTATTACAATGATGCAAAGCTTTCTAGAGGAAACAACAGAAACCACTTGGAAACACAGCTAATGAAATGGTTATACTCTATTTCTATTTGCATGTGACACAAATATGTTGATTGATATATCCTTACAAATATCTTTACTGATGGGGTACCCATTTGTTCTAGGCTATAATGAACAGATTAGCACTAGATAGGATGAACATATGAGTTTTAAAAAACAGTTATACAGAAAGATAAAAACATTTTTAAAATAGTAGACATTTCAAAATGGCACAGGCTAATAGATATGGGCCGTGAGTTGTCATATTGTCATCTTTCCAGACCACGTATTTGGAGACAGAAACTGCCATTGGGTATTTATAGAAGCCAAATGACAATTGTAAAACAAGTGAACAGCTCCCCTGCAGTGAAATTCTGCAGTCACTAGTAATTCTCTATAAGGGACAAAGTGAAATGCTACTTTTAGGTATAGGGTTAAGGTCTTCTACATCAAAGATTACTGAAAGCTGCTGAAGTTATTACTCTGAATCCACCGGTTGACAGAATAGAGTGTGAAATGTGCACGAGTCTCTTCTACAACTTAGAATGATTTGAAAAGGTAATAATCCACAGAAGCTGAGAAGAGGATTTTGTTGATACTACATGCCATGATTTTTAGAGCTTCCTGTGGTTCATTCAAAGCAATCACAGAATAGTGTTCAAACCGTTCCTGTTTAATAAAAATATTATTGGTGAAACAGTCACACTATGTTGTTGCTTAATATTTACTCACCCAGTCTGCTTCATGCTTTCATAGGCTATCAAGTAAAAACTATTTTCAAGGATTAAAGCTCCCCCCCAACGCACACTGTTTTGTTACTGAAGAACATGTTAAGGGATTACATCAGTAACTAACCATAAATAACAACTTGTTTAAAGAACAGTACATTCTAAAATCATCAGCTTTCCAGCCACAATCCTAAATATGCTTTACAACTGATGGTCCTAAGAATAAGTTTTCTCATTCCTTTAGGAAGATAAACGGATCTGATGACATGTATAACATTAGTAATGCATGTGTCATAAGAAGAGGTATGTCTTCTTTTTATTTTCAACTTCGAAACACCAGCCCCCTTATTGCCAGACAATATGAATTGCTAATTTTGTCTACACATATTGCAATATCTGAAGAAAAATATGTACAACAGTTTTAATATGTGCTTTAATTTTTAATGAAAATATTACATAACTTCAAGATTCTATGCTTTATTTAATCTGTTAGGAAATTTCTGAAAGGAATCATAGCTCAGAGACAGATTTTATGCAATGCATAAGAAAAAGTTCCAGATTGAAGTCCTGCCATGTCTAACTAGGGCTGGAAATAATCCAAAATGAAAACCTGGAGAATTCTGGAGTCCCTACTAAATTAAATAGACCAACATTTGGACTCAGCATAATGTCACTCTCTATGTTCCTCTTTGTTATTATCCATATTCATTCTATCCTTTAATTCCCAATTATTAGTGGTCCACAAGTTCTCTTAAATCCTCAAATCTTATCTGTACTGCTGCCAAACCGGGCTTCCAATCCTGTATGTATTCAAGCACAGGACCTTACACTTGAATATCTTCCCGATGGATTTTCTTTGAGCCTGTTGAGGTTGCTTTGAATTGTGCTTTTGTCTATGATTTTATTATCAATTCCCATCACCTGGTGTCATCTACAAATCTGATAAGCATACATTCCATCCTCAAAATCATTTATAAAGCATTGGACCAAGTATACAGTACCAGGGTATCAATATTTTCCCTCCAAGAAGATGTAAAACCATTTGAGCACCCTTTGAGTGTAGTTATACATATAATTGCAAATGTTCAGGCTTCCATTACTGCCTAGTTCCTATTTATCCACCACATTTACTGAAAGTATGATATGCTACATCTACAGCATTCCTTTGGTCTGCCAAATTAGTCACCTTATTCATTAGATAGATAGATAGATAGATAGATAGATAGATAGATAGATAGATAGAGTCTAATTTGTTTTTGACAAATTCGTGCTGGCTCCAGATAATGGTAGCATTCTTTTCTAAATGCCTGTCAACATGACTTGTTGACAATCTGTTCTATTATAGATTGCTCATTAGAGAAATTAAAACTATTCTGTAATTTCCTGGGTCTATCATCTTCACTTTTTTGAATATTGGAATTATATTTATTCTTCTTCAAACCTCTCTCACCTCAACAGTTCTCCAGAAGTTTATTAGGTACATACAGATATTGCATAGCATAAATCCATGCAGGATATAACTGGCAAATGTAAACAGATAAATATATAATATGTCCTGATACAACAATATGTTTAATATTGGTATCAACACTGAAAATGATATTGTTAACTCCAGTATCTTCTTACCCTGGCAATCTTGGTTTGCACTTTCTTTGGCAGAGGTAATAAATAAGCAATCCAGTTATAATCAATAGTACTCCAATTGCAATCAGTCCAGTCAGAAGTCCTATGACATCAATCTTCTCTACTGCTTGGCCACCTGCACAGAAGGAAAGATGATTAAGCATATTCAAATCTCTCATTGTTTCCTAATCTACCCTGGGTCATACTTTAACCCAGTACTGCCAAAAATATGATTATAGTATGCCAATAAATATATGGGATGAGCTCCTTAAATTATTTTCTACATTTATAAAAGCATTATACCCATTATACATCTTCTGAAGAGCAATTATAGCTCTTAAATGCTAAAGAATTAGGTGACAAGTAATAAGTGGATCAACCCAACTGTATCCATCCATCAGTGAAACCTATCCCACTAGCAAATCAGATTCTCCCTTTCCTCTGCATCTCCTAAATCTGCTGCAGATATTTGATAGGTCTTTGTGACAAATGTCTAGTTTTTGATATGGCACAACAGAGTTCCCTCAGTACCTGGTGAATTCTTTCAGTCTGTGCTGAAAAGCACAAGTAAAAAATTCAGCTTTTGTTTTCTCCAATACTTTTTCCTATATAATTCCATTTATATAATGGCACAACCAATGAAAAGTAGATTGCATCTTTATAATTCCAGCAAAGGTTGTTAGCAAAGTGGGTTTAGCCTGTAGATAATTTATAATTTGCTGGCTAGACCCAGACATCAGATGACTGGGGAGACTATTGCTTTGCCCAAAGAAGCTGGCTTTCAATTATCTCCACATTTTACACAACTGAGGAAAGTCAAAAATAAATGAAGACTACACAGAAGCATACAAGCAAGAGAGACAGACATCCAACCTTCTTCTGTACAAGAAACTCTAAAAATGTGCTGAAACCCAATAACCCAAGGAGGTAATAAGTAACTAGTTTCACCAGGGTGACTATACTGATTTTACTTGGAAGTGTGTGTGTGTGTGTGTGTGTGTGTGTGTGTGTGTGAGTGAGTGAGAGAGAGAGAGAGAGAGAGAGAGAGAGAGAGAGAGAGAGAGAGAGAGAG